TAGTATCTCTCTCTCTCTCTCTCTCTCTCTCTCTCTCTCTCTCTCTCTCTTCATACACACACCCCAAAAGCAAGTTACCAAAATTTAATGTCAAATGTATTTGCAGGAAATAAAATAAAAATTAAACAATGTCTATACATGCTGATAGTCAGATTTGTTAAGATTGAATGTGGGCAATTACACTGCTATTATTCCATTAGCTAGTGGGCAGACAAAACCTATTTTGCGCCGCGCACACGTACACACAAATTGCCATATCGCTGGATCCTACTCAAAGAATCTTACCCCTTACCAATATCTAACACTGATTCCCGTATCTTTTCCATGCAACATGGCAAGAAATGCATAAGACTAGTTAATCCTGTGGGCGTCTGTCATAAATTCACTAGATAAAGGGGTAAGTCTTGCACGTCCATTTTCTTGTTGAAATTCTACAAGCACATCAATGTTTTGCTAGCTAAGAAGGCAAACTCAATATAATAGCCAACCGATGCATAAAAATGCAAATTTATGCATCCAAAGTTTATGGATTTGATCAACTTCCCATGTTTCTCTCTTCTAGGTAAAACAACATACAGCCAAACTACTAAGAGAGGGGCGGCTTGACAAAATTTGTGGAAGCCAAACATTACTAATGGATCTTAAACAGTTAATTCAATATGTACAAGCATACCTGGAAAATGCACATTATCTGGATCGCCAAGCAAAATGTCTGATGTATCTTTTGTCTTGTTGTCAAAGATCAGTAAGCCATCCTTGTGTCCCATACCATTTAGAACTATATATCTAGGAACACGAATCCATGGAGGGTCATTTACAGGTTCAACGAGAATTGGAACATGGGCTTCTCGCTGTCCATTTGTATTCCTCGCCAATATTGTGATGACATCATGTCCACAGAAGTTCTCATTTCTGTGGAAGATTGTAAATAATCAATAGAAATTCCTGTAAAGAATCTACAGCACTACCTGACAAGTAACTAAGTCATGAGAGTGACCAATAACAGAGAGCAATAAACATAATAATTCACATGTATTTATCCTACTTATTTTGCCCTAGGAGAAGAAGGATGACTGATTTAAAAAAAATTATTGGCATGGCAACAAAATATGCATATTACACACTACGCCCTTCTTATACATTATGTATAACAGTATGAGAGCCATTTGCAGTTTGTACAATTGTAACAATCTAAAATTGTATCATACAAAGGGCATCAAAATCTTTGGAACACTACCCAAGATATTTGATGGACTGAAGAGCGGAATTGATCATTTCAACAGGCCCCACTAAAATCAATGCCTCTCCTGGTCTTCCACCATTTTTGACATAAAGCCCAGAACCAGAACCAGAATATTCCAATGGCTCCCACACTTGTACAGGTATGGAAGACAAAATTACACTGCCAGACTCTGCACTAAGTATGACAGTAATATTCTCAACCGAATTTGAATATCTCATCTCAAATCCCGGAAAACCTCTGCAAAAAATGAAGACCATGAATCAGAATTCGTTATCAATCATCTGAATGAGCCATGCATGTGCAGCCTCAAATAAATGACAAACGAACAAACAATACTATTTTTCCCGCATTCTCCTATCACAAGATGAAGCTTTTGAATGCTGAAATGGATTACCCAAATTCTGGAGCAAGCGTATCTTCAACTGCTTGTAATTGAACAGGTAAAGAAAGGAATCGAGGCGGACTGATGAGGACCAATATCATAACACTTCCAGAGGCAATATTAAGGTTCTTATCAGATATTGTGTAATTGAAAGAATCATTTCCAACAAACCCTTTGTGAGGTGTGTATCGAAAGAACCTTCCATACTGAAGAATTGTTCCATGATGTGGCTGGCAAAAGGAAATCAGTCAATTATAAGATCACGATCTTCTTACAGACTGATACCTAAGAAAGTATACAGCATGAACCATAATTTTTAAATATCTTTTCAGTAATGCCCTGGAGTTCGATTCACTTGAGCAAAAAAATTCACAAAAATATTCAGATGATGATTATATTAATAAGGGAATAATAGTTCCATCAAATGATGAATAACCGTAGACAGAAAGGCAACAGACATAATGAACTAGTAGGAATGTTTGAATGCAAAATTGCCAAAAATATTTTACCATCATTTTTTCAGCATATTCAAATGAAAAATTCATAAAGCAAAAGATGACTGAAATTTGTGTTTTTCTTGGTGCAGGAAGGACAAATTTAAAATTTATTGTGAAACTTTCACAGCAGCGTACCACTTCCAAAATCATTGCAGTCAGATGCTAACATACACTGTAGTTTATCGGCATAAGCAGAATGAAGCAGAGGAATCACTAATACTTTCTGTGCCAAAAAAATTTGCAACATTTAACAATAGAATCCCAGCAAAACTCAAGAGCACTGTATATCTCAAAAGCACACCTTTGACCATCCAACAAAATTTGCAGTGCCATCAGAGAAACGATCGTTTGCTAACACATCAAAGGCCACAGACTCATCCTCCCAAACTGAGACATCATCATTAATTGCTTCTGGGAAGTAATTACCTGTTAAAATTGCAGTCCTCTAAAAAATAATTAGCAAGACTCACTAAGTACAGTTAAATATACTTCTATAAATTTGGAACAAAAACTTGTAATGCCAGTCTAAAATGTAACGAGAAAAACTTCAGCAGTAAAATATCAAAATGCAAATAGAAGTGAAAAATCTACTTCTTCACAGAATTACGTCAATATGAAAGAACCTTAAAACATCCAAAAAAAACCACTAGAAATTGGCTGTGCAAATCTTGAAGCAATGTATGATGGAAGATGAGTATCAAACTCATCTGTACTAACCTACAAAGTGTTTATCATAAAGTGCCAAACCTAAGCTACAGAAATAATTAAAAATAATTAAAAAAGGCAACCAAGAAAGAAAATACAAATAAGGTTCAAGAGCTTGTTGTAGCAATGATTCAGGAAAGCACTTATGCCCAAATACCATTGATGGCCTGTAGGAAACCTATTTGAGATAAACAGCTCTTAATCACAGATAGCCACCGCGGAGAAGACTGTTTAGCTCAATTTCCAAAATACAAAAAATTAGAGTATTCACAACAGCTATACTGCAAGTACAGTTTGCCACATACAAAACGTAAGCATATAGCATCATCCAAACCACGACCCAAATATACTGAGACAACCGCGACACACGAACCAACATTCTAATTGAATTCTTCCATCTCAGTGTTCAATTGGGTACTAAGAATGAGTGACTGAGCCTACAAGAAATACTTATTCCCCAACAATAAAGTAACCAAGACATGGGCAATATTATGTTTTATTCCTTTTTAGGAGGGTCTAATTTTCTATTGATTTGCAATTCAAAGATCATATGCAGTTTATACCTACATCAATAGTACAAAGCATGCAATTACACAGTATGTCAAGTAATGTGGTTACCAACTTTTAGTATTCTTTGATTTTTGGTGGGGTAATAAATGTTGAATGGTAAAACACAATAGTAGAGGTCAACTTTGTTTCCAGTGTTGAATTATTTTACATGTATTCATTTCTTTTCTTTTCTTTTTTAAATCTGCACATGTAGTCATGTTAATATGCACTTGTGAGTCACTTTAATGAACAGGTACTTGTTGGTCTGTCTTCAGACAGGTAGTTGTCATTTGGCCATCTAAATGCTTTCTAAGTTATTATAAGTCTTGTACTAAAAGGAAGAACGACTGAAAACATTCACATCTCTAATGAATAAATGAAATTACAGAATTCCAGTTTTGACGCCGTTCAGGCTGTAAAAGAGCTCCCCAGGCCAGCAACCATTTTCTTATCTGATTCTAAAGATCCATACAAGGCTACCAGAGCTTTGGAATCATGTCAGATGAACTTATTAACATAGAATAAATTGGGGAAGAACAGAGTAACCTTATCTTGGAGAAATTGCTGACATTGATAGGGGAGAAGCTTCAGAATTTACATACTTCACCTTCAAAGAATCCATCACTTCTAAAGGGGGATTTTCACGACTAAGGATTTAAGAGATAATAACTTCAGATGCCAAGATATCAAGTTATGGAAAAACAAGAGAAAAGAGAGAATGATTGAGAGCATAATGGTAATGCCTTGTATTAAAGTCACATAATAATGCTCTATCCAGGTGAAGCAGGCAATATACGGGTATTAAGATTAATTCCCAGACATCAAGTCACTGTTCAATACTTCCATATCGTAATTAAGTTCTATGCATCCAGCAGTAAGCATGAATAAAAAGTCAAAGGCAAACATATTTCCAGTCTTTCTATGAGTTATACATACTATCATATGGAACTTACTTTCATATACCATGAATTCAAGGGGACATCCGAGCAAAGGCCTATCTTCAAATAAAACGCATATTTTGTGCTTCCCAAGATTGCTTGCTTGATAATACCCAACAAATAAACCAGCAGTATCTTCTTCAAATGACCATGTTAGGGCTTCAGTGCTGTTTTTGTAATGAGTTTCAAGCTTTAGCTTTGATTTTTGAGATGGAACAGGATTCATAAATGAATCCACAAGCTTGATCCGAATTTCATTCCTTGCTTGCTTTTTAACTTCCGGAAAGAATTTCACAATGCTTGAGATTGATGTGTTCACCACACCTGCAATAATTTATTGAAGTTGCTTTATCGGTAATCAACAAAACAAAATTTAGGAAGCCAAAGATGCAAAATTGTAACCGTTTTAACGAGTTATTATACTCCATGCACTCATGAAACATCTGTCTCATTGCAAAATTTATGGCAACAATACTATATACAGAGTATCAAGAAAAAAACTCAGTGCTTATCACAAAATAACTTATCTAAAATATGGATCAAGGTAAACAGTTATTAACAAAATATACATTTAAAATATTAAGAATATTTTCCAGGTCTTTCTTGACGAGAGAAAAGTAACTACCATTGTCACCAATATTGCCTGCTGGCTGTGATAATGCCAAACCTAGGCAAGGAATAATGGTGAATATCTGCCAGAGGATGACGTTCTCGAGTCCACGACAATGAAATGTGCTAAGATTGACTAATTTCATGATGCGATTTACTTATCTGTAAAATCTCTTGATAATTCTATTGTTTTCCACATTGTTGCAATTTTGTTTGATTACATGATTATATTAATGATTCATAAGAATAGTAACTATTCATTTAATTTCTGCAGCAAAATTGTTAATATAGAGGTCTCATTTTTTCTCATACTTTCCAAAATGTCTAGGTTGCCCTCACATTATTATTGTCTTTCATGTTTCCTCGATTTATATGTTTTCTACTGACTTTCAACTTGCTACCAACTGAATCAAATTTTATTTTGGCCAGGTTCATTTTGGCATACAACAAACTTAGCCAGATCCTACGATAAGGTTGATGACTTTCTATTAGTTTGTGACACTGTAAATACTCACAGAGTTTGTTGACTTGGAACTCAAACTAGACTCAGTGAGCTATTGAACCAAGTTGACTCAAGACTTGGGTGAGTGAACTTGAAGATTCATGAAGAGAATAACTCGGCCTGATCTTTAAACATATTTAAAAAGCCAAAAACTGAAAGTTAAACAAACATGGTAAGCATATTCACTAGTATATCAAAATCATACATATAGTTCGATTTAAGCCTCTAAAAGATAATGCATAATATTTTATGTAAGACCAGGCTTAATAAGAGAACTAATCAAGGACCATGGAAAACAACAGAAGAGACCAAAGACATAATATGCATACCTGGAGATACCTCAAATGTGAACGGAAGCCCACCATTTAACGGAATATTTCCACAAAACACTCGAGTGTCATAGCTTCCAGACCTTTCAGTTGTATAGCTGATGATAAAAGAACTACTCTCATCATGTTCAACACCTCCAATCTATGAAAATCAAAGCATGTCTTCAGTATTATACTAGCAGAGCTACTCATTTCTTAATGAGTCCAAGTATGAACACACTGGCTTACAGTGTCGGGTGCACCTCCAACCAATGTAGGACCGGTACTAGTAGGTGGTTTACTAATGTGATCATGATTTGGATCTGGACCTGTTCCAAAAATATATATTTCAAACAAAAGAAAAAAAAAATACAGATGAATACAAGATTATAAATAAATGAACATGACAAAGCATTCTTGGTGCTACTTACCATCTGCATCCACCAAAGGAGATATGTTAGGTTGAAGATTGTATGAATCATTTTTCCTTGAAATTTGAACTTGAATTCTTTCTAGTTCAACAGGAGATGGATCATCATATTCATCTTGCAAATAAACTGAAAATGATGACACTTGACCAACCACCGAACCTAATAAACCTGAACCATTCACGACACTTCTCACACTGTCACAATAACCTACAAAAAGAGAGCTTTTCTTCAGTATAGAGTTATACATGCTAGAGTATTACTCCTAGATTAAATGGAAATGACTAGTTGACAAACCAACAGCACCATCCACCTTGCTTTCACCATAAGAATAGCCTATGAAATAGAATAACTCTTCTAGCATCGAAACCCAAAGGACAAGACAAACGAAAAGTGATGCGTGCAGAATTTAAAAACTTATCATGTATCAAACCCACAAATATCAGCATTAGGTCTGAACTCCATTGTGCCAATTGTTTAATTATCAGTACAAAGTAGTTAGGACAAATCTGATATTATTCTTATTTGTAGGTGGTCAGCGCAATTATAGCATTAGATAAAAAAACTCCAGTGGTGATCTTTCGGCTTTCTTTTTTAACATTTTAAACTTTATTTCATGCTTTACATCTTTTCTTTATATTTCATATTTCACGCATTCTTTAAATCTTGCAGAACATTACTTTTTCTTTTTAATTATTAGAAAACCAAAGCAGTCTCATGAAACAGCAACAACATTGAAATGTTTGTCTACCTCAACCAACAAAAAAAACGCTCCAAAGGGAAGTTTGCAGCATTTATCTGGGACTAAAATTCCTGCATTTGTTTTACTCAATGATAACAATAAACTTGTCTTCAAGGACACAAGCTCAGATAGCTGGACCTCGAAACAATAAATGAGATAATTGAAGATTCAAACAGAAACAAAAATAAGAAACATATAAAGAGCATGTACTTTCAGAGACATACCTACAAAGACAGTGTACTCATAAGGCATTTTAGAGATACTTCCATGTTCACTATCAAAAATATTTATAGAGAAATTCCCTGGTTCAGATACAGTGAAAGACAGCAACTGGATTCCCGGCACAACTTCTACAAATGACATGTCTCCAATAGGAATGGACAAATTCGTTGCCTTCTCAACTACAGATGCATCAAACAGATAAAAACCTGGAACAGTATTACCGTATCCATCTTGTTGATATATCAAAATTTGCAACTTCGAGAAAATCCTAACGCCATTCGTATCATAATTCCACTGAGCAAAACATTTTGAAATCTCCAGTAATCCTGAAAGTTGCAAAGTTGGCTTTTCAAGATATGATCTTTAGAGAACAATATGGAATACTAGGAACTGATGTATGTTTAAATATGCAAATAGCTAGTCTGCCAAGATTTTGATTGCCTTTTGAGAATATTTAGCTACAAATAAATTGAATATTTAAAGCAGTGCGTCGCAGCCTTTAAAAGAGAAGCTCTTTCATGAGAAATAAATAATTTGCACTTTGTCAATATTATATCACAATTTACACAATCATCTGACGAGCAATATGGCACTAAATTCTAAATTCTAAAACTAAATGAAGCTTCAGCATTAATAGGAAAAACAGAAAAATACAGATCAGAGCATATGGTAGGAATTCAAACCCTATCCTTAAGATAACACACAATCTGACAGTCATAATTAACTGCGCAAGGAGCATGCATGCATCAAGTTATGCATGCAGTCTGTCGCTATTTGCATGCATTGGTGTTACAAGATAAAAATATGTTACTTTGTTTGTTGTGATAAATGCATTTCCATAGAACTCAATAAAGACAACCATTTTCCAATAATCAACTTCAATTCACATAAAAACAAACCACCTAGTTCAAAAGAAACACATATGTGAAATGTTAAAGGCACTGTAGGATACCAGGTTTTACAATGAAAGGTAGTGGAGTGTTGTACAAACTGCTATTTTCATGTTCAACATGCAACAAGAGATTTCCAGCTGTGGCTACAACAAATTCAATCGCAATATATCCATAGCTCATCCATCCCATAGAGGTGATATTGAGTATATCTGCATTGTTGCCATATCTATGTAATGCCGATATGTTGAATATGTATGGAGCAATCCCTTCAGTTGCTGAAGATATATTATTCCCAAATGCATCTTTAGGAAGTATCAAAACTTTAGCTTTTGATCCCGCAACAAACTCAGTTACTAAATCCATCCATGAAGCCACGCAGGCAGAAGAGTAAATGGGCCCTTCAAAACATAAAACAAAATTAAAATAGTCAAAATTAAGGGGATGCATTATAAAGACCCAATAAATATCTAAAGAAGAGTAACTTAATTTGCAAACCAAAAATCAAATCCGAAGACGGAGCATGCATGTCAATGAATATTGAAAAGCACTTATCATAAACAATATGATCATTGAGAAACCCTAACATATACATTATTTTACCTGACCTGTATATTAGAAACTCAGATAAACTCAACCAGTTTCTTGTTGAAAAAGCAGATCAATAAAAGAAAAAGAAAAATTTTGAGATCTCTTCAAATTATTGTAGCATACATGGTTGATAAATCCATTGCATAAGAAATTGAAATGAGCTATTAAAATCCATTCTGAAACAGGAAAAAAGAGGAAGAATATTGAACATGACATCATGGAAAAAAACTACTACTATAATAACACTTGACGCCACATATAAGATTTTCTTTTACTAAGTCCACATATAAACTTACAGGTAAAAAATCATAAAGAGTTTTCTCTCGATAAACATTTTCTAATGATGAGGCGGCTCCATTGCTCACCAAAAGAACTCTGAACAAAAAAAAATATTTTCACAATAGCCCAGGGCTCCAACTTTTTACCTGCTGAAACATTGAAATGAAGCAAAGAACCAAAGAAGCCAATGCGATCCTCACTGACATTTGCCGAAAAATGTCCTACTAAAATTGGAAGAAATGTCATATTCCAGGAAGTAGATTTCTCGTCAAAAGATGACGAAACCCCAGATACAAATGAACTGTTCCCCTTTGTATCATTTATATAAAGGGTAAAATTAACCAGAGCTCCATTTGCTAGATAGTTTATTTCATTACCAAGCTTGTCCAATACTTTAACCCTAATAGTGGCTATATCACCTGCCTGAAACTGAAATTTATCATTCTTCCATCTAACGCTGCAACCAGATGGCAATAATTCATCTGAAATTCAAGGAACGTGTAAGAAATGGCACAAACTTTCATCAACGAAAAAAATAAAGCAAGCATAGAACTCTATCTAGTTTCTCCAACAAGGTTAAAAATGCAAGCCATACACACCTAGGATTCATATAAATGAAGCCAAATTATTAACTATGCAACATCATACTGCAAAATTGTTGTTTCTGATACGATTTATCAATACTCTGGCCTCAACCAAACTGTAAATGGAAACCGAGTTCAATAAAAATGTGGATAAATTTCCTTAATCGACAGTTTAAATCTTTATTGCAACAAAATTAGTGAAGAAAAAAACAGAATTTTCATTAGACAAATGCATGAACAAGCATACATGTAATCAATTGAAGCAGGATAAAATACAAGAAAAGAGACAAAGTTCGAATTCCAGACGAAAGAGATGATACAGAGAGCCAAAAACACAAGGAGATGAATAGAATTTGATATGAATGCAGATTACAGGGAACCGATATCGAATAATGAGAGAAAATCACTATTCCAATAAATTGAGATATTGCAAGGAATCAAACAAGTGGTGAGCAAAAATTGAAACGAAATTGAGGATGAAAAAAAACAAAAGAAATCTGAAGCTCACCGCTTTGTGATGCAGCTTTTATGATGAAAGGGAGCTTAAACATAATCAAGCAGAAAATGATACAATAAATTAGGTTGGTTTTCTTTTCTTGCTGATTCATTGCGAATGAGTTGGAATGTGTTAGAGAGAAAGAGAGAAAATATTTAAAAGGGCTTTTGGCGGTTCAACCGTTCCCGCCTGCCCTGCGATTTGATGCATGAAACTTAGTGAACGGTAATGAAACACGTGATTATTACATGGAAGAATTTGGCATATGGTTGCAACCTTATACTGTAGAAGTAAGGTGTATCTAAAAAATCTAGTAGAAATTGGCATTCTTAGGTTGAAAAACCCTTCTAATTGATTATTTCGAGTTCGATATTTGTGATGCAAAAAAATATAAAAATTTCAAGTCTTCAAATTAATAATCTTAACAGCAAGTTATGGGTGCAGTTTGTATAGAGTCGAGGCTCTAAACAATCAAATTAGAGCCTACCTCAAATCGTGTCGAAAAATATAGTTTTAATATTGGAAATCTTTGTCTAACCTTAAAATATATTTTTAACTTTTCTTATAAAATTTAAAGCTTTAAAAATAGTGTAGATCGAGCAGATCCATGAAAACTTGAATAACTTAAAATTGACAGTCCAAAAATGCGTTACAAGATGTACTATTTTCAAAACTTGAAATCCATTTTTTTCTCATGTATATGCATCTTGATATCGAGATGATCAATTTGAGGATCAAAACAACCTCTTCTAATTAAAGTTTTGAAGTATGCTCTAATTTGATTGTTTAGAGCCTAGGCTCTATATAAACTTTTTCTATAAGTTATTAGTATTGTTTATTTTTGAGATTTTTTTAGTGCATAGACTTCCTCCATCTGCATATTTTTTAATTTTAAATTTTATAATATATTGAATATGTTTCAAGCCACCTTAAGGTTTTCGATAATGAAACTACTTTTTTTTTTTACAATAATTAGATGTGCACTTACTTATATAGTATGAGGTGGGCACCTTTACAAACTTCACTCTCATTAGAAATAAGTGCTTCAAGGCATTGTTTTGAAACCCAAAATCGCCCAATGACCATATCCTCATTGAGTCCATAAGCCCCTAATAATCCCCGATATTAGCTAAAATGAAGGAAGTTAACTTTTTAAGCGTTCATATTCAAATAAAATATAATAAGTTAAGTGGATGAGGTTTGTATAAGGTGTCAACCTTACGCTATTGAAGTAAGGTACACTTTAAAGTATGGCAAAAGATGTACGTTTGGAACTGAAAGGGCTTGCAATGACATGAAAATCCATTGTCATTCATAATAATGAAATTCAAAGCTCCAGAACTAATGTAGATCAAGTAGATTTATAAAGATTTTATATTTTTGAAAATGGACAGTCCAGATCATATGCTACAAGATACACTATTTTTCAAGAATTGTAATTTTAGTTTTTTCATATACATACAACTCTAAGTCGAGAAGATCAATTTGAAAGTTTCTTTCATCTAAACAATATTTTCCAATGGGTGAGTGTGCCTCACTTAAATAGTATGAAGTCGGCATCTTATATAAAATTTTTTAAAAATGAATATATTTTTAAGTATTTTTATTCAAAAAATTGAGTCATATTTTTTATAAAAAAAAATAGGGAAAATTGCACATATATGTTATTTGAAGCATTATTATAATTTCACATAATTTTTTTTGATATTACTAGTATACCCGTTTTATATTCATTTGTGGTAGCTTTAAAATATATTTTCATATTTAATTATAAAAAATTAAAGCTTCAAATATAGTGTGGTTCGAGCAGATATGCTAAAACTTAAAAATCTTGAAAATTGACGATTCTAAAACTTGAAATCCATTTTTTCTCATGTCCATACATATTGATGCTGAGTATATTTGAACATCAAAACAACCTCTTCTAGTGAAAATTTTGAAGTGGGCTCTAATTTGATTGTTTAGAACCTCGACTCTATGTAAACTTTTTCTAAAAATAAACGTCAGCACTAAATTTTTTCAAGAGCATCTCAAAATCTATTGTCTGAATTTTTTCACAAGGACGTTTGATTCGACATGTTTGCTCTTCTAAAAAAATGCACAATTTACTCTTGCCAAAAAATCCGAAAACTTGTCCGCAATCGTATTCGGACTTTGAAGGTACCATTTTTTTTTAAGTTCGAATCCTGAATATTTGAAAATTGGGCGACCTTAAGTTTCGAAAAATTTCTTTTACGTCGGATCTTGAAGATAAAAAAGGGGCAACTTTTGAAAAAATTAAAGGCTCTTAAAAACGGGCTTACATGTAATGTCCAAATTTTTAAGTGTGACGCGTGAAAATTTAAGATAAAGTTGTGATAACGTTTAAAACAACACAGTGTGTAATTTTTCAAAATAAAAGTTGGGAAAAATTATATAAATATCTGTTTTAGTTTTCATTGTTACTAAAATAACGAATATTTATTGTTATATCTGTTTTTTGAACTTCATAATAGTTTTTTTTTAAAAAAATTATTTTTAGTTTTTCAAAAACTAAAATCACATCAATTTCAAATTTTTAAAAAACCGATCTCTTGTGGTCCTCTGTGCGTTCTCTCTCTCTCTAAGCATAGATTATCATGGAGAGAGAGGGGTTTCGATGGGGCTGGTCTGTTTTCTCTGTCTAAAACATCCACTGTCCCTCTCGATGTAGAAATTTGTAGAGATTATATAAAGAGAGGTTTTGATGGGGCTGGTAAGAAAGTGGTTTCCATTGGGCACAGCTGCATTGGGTTGCCCGTGGGTTGTTACGAAGAGAGAGTAGATGGAGTAATTCGAGTAAAAAACATTTAAAAAAATTGAGGAAACCATCCAACAGTTTGGTTTTGCTACAAGAAAATACCTGGCTAAACTATCAATCTTTCAAATTTTCTCTGCAAATTCTAGCGACCGCTTTTCTCTGCAACTTCTAGCTCTGCGAAGCTCCTAAATTGTTTGATCTCCCAAATTGAATCTAACTTTAATTCCTTCTTTCAAGTCTTTCAAATGGTATGATTTTCGTTAAGATGCATAGGTTTTTAAATGAAGAAGTAGAGAGGTAGAGATGTAGCAAATTGTATGATTTTGGTAGTGGTAGAGAGAGTGAGAGAGGTAGAGAGAGAATACGAAGAGGACCCAAAATAGAGAAAAATTTTAAGTTTTTGAAAAATAGAAATTTTAAAATTTTGATTTTTTAAAAAATTGAAATTGGCTTCATTTTTTAAAAACTGAAAATAGATAGTTTGGTATTTTTTTTAAAAAAATTGCTACGAAGTAAAAAAACGGATATATCAATAATAACGGAAAGTATTCGGTATTTTGCTAACAACAAAAAATAAAACGGTTATTTATGTAATTTTCCCTAAAAGTTAGAATACTATAATAAAAATTGTATAATACAAAAATTATAGGTAAAATATCTCCATATCTTTATTTTTTGGTTTCATTTCACAATAAACCAAAAGTTTTAAAATATATTTTGCGGCATAAAAATTGTAGATTTTATTTCTTTTAATCCTTTGAGTTAATTTCAACTTATTTTTTTAGGCCAAATAAATCTAAAAAAACATGATTTTATCCTTTCAAACTTGTAGAGAGAGAAAAAAAAGGTTTGGGAGAAAAAGTTTCATGGAGGTGAGACGTTATCGAGGTCAAATAAATTTAAAAAGATATGTTATCGAGGTCAAATAAATTTAAAAAGGTATGTTTTTTCTAAAAGCGATCATCCCAAACATCTAGAGAGAGAAAAATGGCTTCATGGAGGTGAGAGGTTATCAAGAGGAGAGAGAGGTATTTAAAAAAATTTAAAAGGAGACTAAGAGACCACAAAGAGAGAAAAAAAGATAAGTTTGAGATATGTAATTGAAAAAAAATAAATGATTGGATTTAAAAATACCATATTTTTTTATAATTATTTAAGTTAAGAAGTAGTTTAAAGTGATGGGGGTGGTTATAAAAAAACTTAAAAATAAGAATGTGGAGATATTTTTTCGAAATTATATCCTACAAAGGTTGACACTTTTTAAACACTTTTTAAACTTGACCTTTATGTGTACTAACAAAAACACGGACGTGGTTTTCATGTGGCTAGCCTGCATATTGTAGAAATGGACGCTTGGGAATAAATATATTTTTTAAATATAATTTGATCCTAATTTTTAAAAGATATATAATATTTAACATTCATGAATATGAAAAACAAAAAAAATAATAACTGAAAATAATAACTATACCAAAAAAACATTTGAACAATTAGTTACAATAGTTTTTAAACGGACCACCTATATGCATTATTTTTTAAAATGGATGCTCCTGCCCGCATGAAACAATTGCAAATAAACTATATAAAAAAAATACAAATATAAAACTACGAGTCAGCGGACTCATATGTACATGTGTCGTGCCCCTCTAAAATTCATCTTAAATATCGATTTTTATCTAAATTTTTAGAAATTCATCGTCTAAGCGAACCATCACAAAAAAGGTCAACTTTAAAATACCTTTTTTTTTTATGTTAGTTTTGGCACAGTCATGTCTGATTCGACTTGCACAACGTCCATCTTAACGATGGACGTTGAAGAGTCAGCGGGCTCATGCACCCGCTGACTCATAGAACACTTCTCCTATAAATATACGGAAATTTCGGGGCGCACAATCCGAACTCTGTTAAGTATAAAAAACGAAGTGAGAATATGGGGAGTTGCAGAGCTTTCTGTAAATCTTTCCTTTTCCCTTTTTCCTTTTCCATTATTTCCACTCATAATAACCACACGTCCCCTTTCCAAACCCTAAAATCCTCAACAAAACGAAGAAGAGTTGCTTCCATGGCGGCAGCTTCTGCTTCTGCTTCCGAATCAAGTGCTAGCGCTGCCCCTCCCTCTCCTCAAGCCATGGAAGGCCCTTCCCCTTCTTCGGCGATTGATTTTCTCACTCTATGCCATCGTCTTAAGGTCTTTCTCTCTGAAATGCAAAGGTTCTTCTATTGACCGACGAAATATTGTGATCATGTTGGGATTGTAGGGTTTTACGTGCTTCTTCTCTTCCCGCTCTAATATTTGTCAATGGGCACGTGCTTCTTCTCTTCCCTCTCTAATATTTGTTAATGGGCAACAATGGTGACTGTAATTTTCTTCTTTCCTTTATTAGTGATCGATTCTTACGTGATAACTTTCTAATTGGCTCATTTATAGGGTATTTAGATCAGGTATTATGTATAAATCTTACTTTTTCTTTTATTCGTTTTTCTTTGTTCTTCTAGAATTGGTTTCCTTTTTTTTCTAGTAGTTTATTGATATTAAAATTATAATTTGTTCACAATACTTTGCTTTCAAGTACTAACGACCTGGTAGTGGCTTGACTGCTGTCGATATAACACAAAATATAGATATTTCTTTTGGGTGAATAAGTGGAGAACACAAAATATACATAGAACGGGAAATAATTAGTGTTTTTTTGTTTCCTTTTTTAGGCAGTTCAGCATTAATATTCGAACTAGGGTGTAGTATTGCCATCGTCCATACCTGTTCCTATTAAGCCCAAGCGCAAACCCTTAAAAGTTGATGAGAGTTGCAGTATCCAAAAACAGTTTTGTCTCTGTGACAAAGGATCTTGTTTGCAAATCTTGTTGTCAGTGAGAATCAAAGATTGGAATCTCTGTTTCAATGGATAACTAAAACTACCCAAAATTGTTAATGGGTGTGGTTTGTATAGAGAGCCTATCTTCAAATAGTGTCGAGAAATGTGGTTTCAATACTGGAAATCTTTGTGATAGCCTTAAAATATATTTTCATATTTATTTATAAAGTTTAAAGCTTCAAAAATAGTGTAGATTGATAGACCTGTGAAAACTTGAAAATTTTGAAAATTGACGGTCCAAAAATGCCTTACAAAATACACTATTTCCAAAACTTGAAATCCATTTTTTTTCTCATGTCTATGGATCTTGATGTGGAGATGATCAATTTGAGGATATTTGGGCATCAAAACAACTTCTTCTAATGAAATTTTTGAGGTGGGCTCTAATTTGATTGTTTAGAGCCCCGGCTCTATGTAAACTTTTCCCATTGTTAATTTATAAGGGGAAAAGGGAGACTATCAAAATACAACTAACTTATCAACTATGTAACAGTTTATCCATTTTTCAATTATCCCAACTGATGATCATGTATTTTGATTGGCGTTTTGAAATTAAATTGAAAAATTGGATAAAATGTCAAGTAGTTCATCTCTTAGGCGCATTTTGATCTTCCTGGGACAGAATCACTCAAATATTTTATGTACCATTTATCTTTGAGTAATATATTCATTCCTATCTTGTTGAATCTTTTATTGAAGTTGCCTGCATTTCTCATGGACTATCTTGGATCTTTAAATTATTCACTCATGCTTGCTGATTATTGGCACTGTGCTACCTTAGTTTGAAAGACTTCTGGTCCACTCATTTCACTAACTTTTCGTAGTTTTTTGTATTGTACGTTAGATTTATTGTTTGGCTTCACTTAAGTTACATTGGTTCTTGGTTCAAAGAGATATTCTGAAATTACTATTTTTCTGTTTCTTTTTCTTTTTCTTTTTCTTACCTTTTAGACTACAAAGAGAGCAGGTTGGGTTCGACGAGAAATACAGGATCCAGAATCCATAGCAGATCACATGTATCGGATGGGTGTGATGGCTCTCATTGCAAATGATATCCCTGGGGTGAACAGAGACAGGTTTGAGGTTGCAAATATTTTTACTTGCTCCTTTTTCTTTTTGACAAGTATATTTTTACTTGATCTTCTTTCATGAATTTCAGCAAACTCTTTGCATAGTTTTTGAACTGGAATTCTTGTTATTTACTCATCAATTTCTGTTGGTTTGCCTTGTTTTAAAAGAACTTGGCCGAGGCCAACGCAGTCTCGCCTGAGATACTTGGGCTCAGCATTCTACTCAGCCCAGAACCCCATACTTGCCCAAAGGTGGTATCTTAAGCGAGTATGGGTAGACTCGGCGAGTCTCTTATTGCTCGCCGAATATGTCAGAGCTTGCCGAGTCTGACAAGAAGCACAGTTTAAAAGGGCAGCGCAAAACTGAACCCCTTTTTCACCATTTCTTTTTTAGGGAGCCCCCTTATGGCCTGAAATTTGTTTAAGCTAGTTTTTGCACTACTAAAAAGTTCAGATTCATGAAAAATAAAAAGAAAAATCTCGGATTTGATAGATTTTGGTTTCAACTAAGGGTTTGGCCAGGGTTTGAAAACTTGCAATTTCGTACAACCCAAGCTCAACATGGTTGAAATTTTCCCTGTGCCCATTTTGAGTCATGGGCATATTTTTCCACAAGATTTATGAGGTCTTGAACACCCAAACACCATTTGGCCAGTGATATTGTTTTAAATTTTTTTCTTCTTCAAAAACGTACCCTAAAGAAATAGTGGCTTAGTTTCCACAAAAAAGGTCAAAAAGAAAAAGGCTTATTATTTTTTATGTTTTTTTTGTTTGTTTTTCCCCTTTTATTGAATTTTTCTGGTGGGCAACTCACAAAACTCGACAAGTCCACTCAGGACTTGCCAAGATGACTCGCTTTTGGGCCACTGGTGAATCCTGGACAGGAGCGAGTCCAAGCTTTTGAATGCTGCTTTAATGTGACTTAATTTTCAACTGAGATGAATGTTCCTTCACATTTATTTTCTTATAATGTTTATGTAGATGTTATAGGAGTTAACTATGGAAAACTGCAATCCACTGGGATCATCAACGTCCAATGAAATGATGGATGGTGATGAAGAAAGAGTGGGACCTACCTACTGTTGGGGTCATGTCATCATCTCACTCTCTCTCCATCACTGCTGATCATTTCATATGCAGGTCATCTCTATTGGAATATTCTTTATAGTTGAAGAAAGTATTTACCTGTTATTGATGTATTCTCCTCATGTTTTACTTTAAGTCATACTTATTTCTCGAAGTCTGACATGACCCATTGAGCAATTGATGCATTATTTTTCTCTGTTTACTTTTTAATATTTTCTCTGACTTGCAACACCTACTGATTTCGTGTAGGTGCATAAAAATGGCAATCGTGCATGACATTGCTGAAGGTAGGATATTAAGATGCTGGCTTCTTCATAATTTCTGGCACGTTGTTAAAAGTTTTCTGTTAATTATTATGGAGAATTGATTTACATATTCAAAATGATAAAAGATAAAATCATGAAATGGTGAAACTGCCTAAGATAAAGTACATGAGCCAATTTTGTACCATTGTGTTTGTGAAAATTGTTTTCACAGCAGTGAACATATTACAATCACACTTTGCTATTAGTTTTCAACTTCCTCTAAACTATATGTTGGATGAATGTGGAATTTTTTTCAGTATGTTATACTTGAGAATATGTTTATAGCTCTAAATAGTTGAAATCTCCTGTGGTGATATCTTGTATGATATATTATACTTCTATTGATATGAATACATAGCTCTGTATTATGTCATTGTTTAGAAATAGAATGGCTTTCTAGATCTTTCCATACACACGTGTGTGTGTGTGCACATAAGGAGGGGAGGAGGATTTGCTGATTCAGTCTACCCCAGGGCAGACAAGTACAATCATCACCATCATCATCATCATCAAAGCTTTTTCCCAACTAATTGAGGTCAGCTACAGGAATCCTAGTCTGTCCTTCCGCTCTATCAAGGGCCATACCCTTAGTGAAGCTATAAGTCCCCAAATCGTTTCTCATTATTTCCATCCATGTCTTTTTAGGCCTACCCTTTGCCTTTTTTAGCATTCCACTTGAATTAAGTCGCACCTCCTAGCAGGTGTTGTATTGGGTATGCGCCACACAAGACCAGCCTACCTAAGTCTACTTTATCTCATCTTATTGCCTATTGGTGCCACACTTAAATTAGCAGACTACAATGGCTTCACTAATTTAAAACCATAGATAGCATGATCCTTCATACCCAAAATCTAGTCATCCAATTACTTCGCCCCCCCCCCCCCCCCCCCCACCCCCACACCCACACACACGCACACAAAAAAAACACAGAAAAAAAAGAAAAAAAAGAAAAAAAAAAGAAAGAGAGAGAGAGGGAAAAAGGCATGCAACCCAAAAAAATCCAGTGCCAATAGTGAACATGGACCATCCATCTGAGCATTTGGGTCACAGAGGACTCAAATTATTGTTGTCATTATTATTTCTGTTGTTAATTGTTTGTCTGATGATGAGGTGATGTACAGAATTTGGAGTCAAACAAATTTTCTCAATAAAGCCAAAAAAAAAAAAAATTTTGAGAAGTTGATCATTTTCATATCATTCAATTGATAGCATTGCTTAATTCAAATCATATTCCCCAAACACACAACCACTCTCCACTCATTCCCAATAAAGGACTCCTTGGATGCTTGAAAATCCATAATGCCAAAGCTGATCTTGGCCCCTCTGGTTCCCATATGTCCATGTTAGTGATTTGTCATAGTTCACCAGTACATACAATTGAAAACAGAGTCACAAAGAAGGTGTGTGCTTTATATAGTAAATGGATTTTAATGCCAAAAGTGATTAGAGGGTTACAAATTGCTCGCCAATTTGACATTTTATTTCATGTGCTAGACAGGCTTGTTGATACAAAGAAACATGGTATCTTACTTGTTTTGTTCCTTGAATAGCCATTGTAGGCGATATCACTCCTTCTGATGGTGTCCCTAAGCTGGAGAAAAGCCGAAGAGAGCGGGAAGCTTTAGAACACATGTGCACATTACTTGGTGGAGAGTCAAGAGGTAATGGTTGCACTTTGTCATGTTGAATGTTGTTAACACCTTAACATTGAGGCAAAGCCTTTTTGAGATTTCTTGGAGGAATAACATAGAGAGTCAGAGAGAGAGAGAGAGACAAAACTTTTTTCTTTTTTATCATCAAGAGAGAGAGAAGATGGGAAGCAGATGAGAGGACAAAACCATCTTTTCAGACCCCTACATAGGTAATTCTTACGAAGACAGAAGAGAGATAGCTATTAAACTGGATGCTTGAGAGGCTTCCTTGGACTTATAGACCAACTAAATGTGATGCAAGCTACCCTAAAAGTCACCCTGAACAGTAGCTCACCTTGAAATGCACGGGCTACAATTTATAAGCCTCAAGAGGAGGCTTTTACCTCCTTTTCATAATTGCAAAATGAAGAAAAATGGCAAATCAAATCCTACTTTACATCGCTTCAAAAAAAAGAAAAACAATCTTTACATCACCTCAAGAAAAAGTAAACGAATAGTAAGTAATTTTACATCACCTCAAGGAAAAGTAAATAAATAGTGAAGAATAATTACATCACTTATAGAAAAAGTAAAAAAATAGTGAAAAGGTGAGGACTAATAAAGGAATAGTAAAAATGTGAGGAAATAGTAAGGGAATCTTCTTTAGTCAGTTTCAAGGACAGACATTTTCTTCTCTGAAAGCTTCTTGAGTTCAGCTTTACTCTTTATCATGCTAGTTGTATTAAGCTTCTCGAGTTCAGCTTTACCCTTTATCATGCTCCATGCTAGTTGTATTTCTTTCTTTTGAAAAATTACTTTGGATGGGCATTGGGAAGCTATGTGTTTGTCTTATCTGCAAGCATAACAAGGGCCAATGTCCATCCAAAGCACCCATAGAAATCAGCGCAATTTTTCAAAAGAAAGAAATATTGCTAGCATGGAGCATGATAGAGATTGAAGCAAAACTCGAGGAATCTTTTAAAGAAGAAAATATCTAAGTCTTCGAAGATGACTAAAGAAGGCTCCCTTACTATTCCTAACATCTTTTCTATTTCTTTACTATTCCTTACTTTTTTACTAATCTTTTACTTTTTTTTGGACTGATATAAAGTTATTATTTACTATTCATTTACTTTTTCTTGAGGTGATGTAAAGCTAATTACCATTCATTTATTTTTTCTTGAGGTGATATAATGTTTTTTTTGAGAGGATGTAACATAGGATTTGATTTGTCTTTTTTCTTTATTTTGATGTGATGTAAAAGGGGCAAAAGATTCCTCATGTGTCTTATAAACTGTCCACCTTGCATTTCAAATAAAGCAAGTGAAATTTGAAACCAAATTTGTCTCTGGATTAAGATAGTCTCCTAGTGTGTTAGTCCAAGAAGCACACACTATCCTTAGAATCGTATTAAACAAAAGTGAGTCCACTGCAGTGACTTGCTGTTCGGGATGGCTTTTGGGGTAGATTGCATCACATCCAGCCGGTCTGTAAGTCTATGACTCCGAGGCATCCGGTTTAATCACTTTTTCGCCTCTTTCTTCGTAGGAATTGCGTGTCTAGGAGGGGGTGGTTTTGTCATCTCATCTCCTTCCCAACTTTTCTCTCTTGATAATAAAAAAACAAAGGTCTGTCTCTCTCTGTTGTTCCTCCAAGAAGTCTCAAAAAGGCTTTGCCTCTCTCGCAATTTTCTCTTTCTTCAAGCTGTCTCTTCTTCTATACAAAAAGAAACTATTTACTTCTGGTTGGGCCACTTTTGGTTTCTGAGCCCCGAGGTCTTTTTTTTTGCCCTTTTTGGATAAGTATCACTTGAGATTATTTCTTGCAGCGATGAAAAAAAATTTATTGTGATTATCATGTGTAAATCTATTTAAATATATCTTGTTGTTCAGTTATCTCCTAGTAATTTGGTAGTCTGTGACATTTTCTCCTTTGAAATAGTTTTTTCTTTTTTGTAAATATGGGTATTGGACTGGCCACCTAGCATCTTAGATCTAGAGCTTGGCTCCACTGTGAAACAGGGAAGAATCTATTTTTCATTCGGCTGGAACAAATATAACACAAGCATGGAGAGGGCTTGTGATAACTTTGTAAACATTTTATTTTGAAGTGTTTTTATTTTGTCCAAGAATATTCTATACAATGAATAGAATTCTGATCCTACTGGGACTGTGTATTCTGGTTATAATTTTGTTTTGGACTGAATCATATGTACTCATATTGGCAGTCATTTACTTTTACAGCAAAGGAGATAGCTGATCTATGGATGGAGTATGAAGAAAATACTTCTTTGGAGGCAAAGTTTGTTAAAGATTTGGACAAGGTGCCCACATGGTCCTCCTCATGAAAATTCTGTTCAACCTTCTTCAAGTTTCAAATGCCATGATTGAACATCCTGAACAGTATGTTTCTTGTTAAACATGCTGTATGGGTACTGGCAAGTAAACTTACGCTTTAGTGTAAATGTAATGTTGTAATTTGCTCACTTTTCTTTTTCTTTTTATTTTTTTAAATTTTTTTGAAAGAAGCAATATGGCGAGTAGAGAAGAAAGTATTGTTTTACCTTTCAATTATGAATTTTCATTCATGCATTTATAATTATTTTTCCTTTGTTTCATTTTTCAATGCTTTGCTTTGAAGGTTTAAATAGTGGTGATGGTGGCACTTCTTGTTCTCCTATTATCGAAGAAGGGGCAGGTTGGCTTGTTTGGGCTTTATAAGGCAAAACTTCAAGGTTCCAAACTTTTACCTACGTAACCCAAGCCGAAATGTCTAATACTAACGTGAAGTACAAGGGACAAAGTCTTAAGGGACTTGTTTTGCTATATCCTGTTCCACATAGTTATTATCAGTTAAACAGGGTACAATGAGTATGGGGAGCTCAGTTTTAGCTCTAAACAAAAAGAAAAAACTAAGACCCTGGCTATACCTTCCAAGGCTTTCAACTCTTAATTGAGCCGTCTTGCGTTCCAATTGATGAACCGCCATTGGTTTTTGCGAGCCTTGGATCTCCCTGTGGAATTATATACCTTATTAGATCAAGGCTGAGTTAGTTGCTCATGTTTCTGTTACCAAAACCTCGCACCTCTTTTCTCTGTTAACAAATTGTGTTTAACCTTTGTAGACTCTGAAGTAGGAATAAAATTATGAAATATTGTCGATCTTTAAAATGCTGAAATTCTTCTATGTTTTAGCCGTTTTTTTATGCAAGGGCCTCTATACGGATATACCTGAGTGCCTAATGCATCTTGCACTAAACCACCTTCTACTTTTACATCTTTCAGGTGGAGATGATTCTTCAGGCCTTAGAGTATGAAAATGGTTTGTAAAATCATCAGCTCTTGAATGTGATTGTGAGGCTATATTTTGACTTTTTGTGCATTCACACCTGCTTTTTGGTGTCGTGCAGAACAAGGGAAAGATCTGAATGAATTTTTTGAGTCAACCGCAGGTAAGAGGCACCGGTTAATTATCTTTTCGTGTTTGTGATTCTTTTGAGCATTTAGTATCTTTTCCAATTAACAGAAAATGAGAAAAAAAGACTGGGTTCTTTTAGTTAAAAACGAAGATATGCAGGTAATTTTTTAAAGGGAAAGTATATGATGAGATCACTTACCTTTGGTACAAGGTGGTCACATTAATCTTGACCATTGGATGTGAAATTGGGTGGTTGCAATTATTCCATTGTCCGAGCTCAAACTTCAAAAGCAATTTCTTGAACTTTGTGACACATCCAAGCTATCAAATTTTACATCGGATGGTTATAAGTAATTGTGACCACGTTGTATGAGAGGTAAATGGTCTCATTGTATAGAATCTCTTTTATAAATCAACATAAAAAGAGTGAACATACTGAGATATTAAGCTCTAACAACTGAAGAACGAACGGTAAATCCATTCTCCCAAAAAAGAATGAACAATAAATCCAGTTCAGAGAGGCATAAAAGAAAATAAACATGCAAAAAGGATAAAGCAGCAAAAATGAAACAAGACTATCTTCAGAGCAGGGAATTTCTACTTATTGAGATCACCACCAGAGAGATAGAGAGAGCTTCTGTAGTAAAGCATGAGATGCCTCATGTTAATATATGTTTTGAACTCCGTATTTTACAGGGAAGTTTCAGACTGATGTCGGCAAAGCGTGGGCTGCAGAGATAGCATCCAGAAGAAAGAGACTACGTTCTTCATCTTAGTGGCCGATAAACTGCTAACATTTGAAGGTGGATTCTTATCGTGAAGTTTCATACCCTTGTATTAATCTCAGCCCATGTACTCGGGCGTCGCACACAAAGCACAAAGTGCTGTACTGGGTTTTTTGGATGAGAATTATATTTCTTGTTGCAACCTTGAGGCTCTCTCTCTCTCTCTCTCTCTCTCTGTGATAAGTGAAACGCTAAGTTCTAATTGGGCATGCATCCATCATCTGATTATCTGAACATATCAACTATACCAGATATAATCAGCTCACATGGCCAAATCTTAAATTGCCAGTCGGTATATTTTAAAAGTTAACTGACATTAGGCTTTCCCAGGAGTGTAGAATCCTTTCATTAAGAGCAACCTTTTGACTTTAGGAGCAGAGTTTATGATAGGTTTAATGCCTCGGGCACAAGAGCTATTTAGGGGGATTTGGTTTAGGAAATTGTATACAATGAGACCATTTACCTTGGGTGTGACACAAAGTTCGACTATTTACCTTGGTTTAGGGAATTTGGTTTAGCTTGGGTGTCATAAAGTTTGAAAAAATTTATTTTGAATTTTGAGTTTAGTCAATAGAATAAATGTAACTACTTAATTTCACATCCAATGGTCAACATTAATTGTGACCATCTTATATCAAAGATAAATGGTCTCATTGTATATTTTGTTTTTGGTTTATTATGAAATTTGGGATCCATCTAAAACTAAATAGAGATTATTTTAAAAGAGAAAACTCGGACGATGTGATCTTCAATGCTTGGATCTCACCCTCATAATATCTTGGGATGTTATCTTTGTCAAAGCTTGCAATTTGATGAGTTTTTTATCTCTGTCTAAGCTTACAATTTGATGAGTTTTTTGTTGTAGTTAATCGTTAGGTTGAAGAGGTTACATCGCCAAGGTATTAGAAAACTCTCAGATTGGGGTTTTAATATTTGAAACAAAAACGCAGGGAACGCAGTGGGTTGTGGTTGGTCCAAATAGTGGATTTTAACCTGCAGCTAGGAAGGAGAAGATTATGGCCTCGAAAATGCTGGATCTGATGTGCATAAAGTGGACGGTCCAAATGCAATCGAAAGGAGATTTAGATGTAGTGCATATTTTTAGATATGTTGCAGTCTCTTAGCTCCATTTTTTTTTTGTGTTTGTGTGGCTACTTCCGATATTCTAATATCACTTTCACTTTACTCATGGATAATTTTGCCTGACGAATAAGTATAATTTGCCCTGTACTCCCTTTGTAACTCTCTCCTCTTCCTCTCCCTCTCCCTCTACCTCTCCCTCTTGACGAAATCTTGGTCCTCCAAAAGCCCCTTTGGCCTTCTGGCAACTCTAATTCTACTCATGGAGTCCAAAACTTGTTGCCCTCAAATAGTTGAACAAAGATGACAGTGTAGCAGAGAGATCTGTTCTTCAGGATTCTGAGTGTATTAGCTGGAAACCTCAATCGCTCCAACAAAATATCGCACAAATAATCATTGGGCTGTTACCCCGGTAGGGAAAACCAACATAGAGAGATTCAAAAACAGATTGTTGGCATGCTTTTTTTTTTTTTACAGGATTCAGCTATGAAAATGGGCACAATTTGCAGAATTAATTTAGAAAAAAGCCATAACCAAGCCCACCAAGGGATCACCGTTAAAGAATCTTGAAAAACCCAGATCAATTCAAAGAAAAAAATGAAAAATTTAGGCGAAAATGATTACAGCGTGTTAAAGACAAATTTGTTTATTTTTTGAAGGAAATAAACAAACCTCTTGTCTCTTTGGAGGCATCAGATAAAATTGGAATGATACTGTGTCAAAGAGTAACACTTTCCACCAAAACAGCAATTTGTTTCAAACCATATCAAAAAAATTAACCATGTGCAGTTCATAGGGAAGCAAATCAAGACGCATATCAACATACCAAAAGGGTAACTAACAATAAGCTTAACCAAAATTACATCTACCTACGCTAACCCAAGGGACAAATTCGGGGAACTAACAATAAGTTTAATCAAAATTACATCTAATTACACTAACCCAAGGGATAGATTCGAGGCCATCACAATCGTCAAAGCCTTGTTTCAACTAATTGGGGCTAGTTGCATAAATCCTGATCCGTCATTCTACTCTATTAAGAGCGATACTGTCAGTCCTTATATCTTTTCTCACTACTTTCAACCATGTCCTCTTGGGCCTACACCAGTGAACAACATTATTACTAGCAATCTCCACTGATAAATTTGAAACTTGTGGGGGTATTGCCATGAGATTGGGCTGATAGCCTAGATGGAGAAGCAGAGTGACTGAAGACCATTCAAGAGAACTGCCGAAGCCACCTCGAACCATCCCCATTCCACTTAAACACTGCAACATTCTACGAAGGTAACAAACCCTGTAGGTAAGAGATAATGTGGCTTGAAGAAAGAGAGTTACACAAACTTATCCCAATTGGTGGTCTACGTTTGTAGTGTAAGGGTGAGTGGCCTTTTGCTTATCCAAAAAAATGCAAGGCCTAAAATTTAGATCAAAAACTTCGAGTTACCAAAACTTTGGTCAATTCCAGGGGAGGTGCTGCTATAGGAGATCAATGACCTTGATCCCGCTGAGGAGTTAAGAGGCCTGTTGCTGGCACGGATAGACAGGATAGAGGCAGAGGTTTAGTGCCAATCTGTTATCAAACAAGAGGAAATATTTAGATACCAAAGGCCTAGAATCAGTTGACTCAAAGATGCTGATCACAACACATCCTTTTTCTATGAGATGTCTAAGTTGTCATTGAGAAACAACCACCATAGTTCAATTGTTCAGACCAAAGAAGGTGACTGACTTCATGAAGATTGGTTTGAAGGCGTTCATCACACAATACTTTCAAAGCAGGCCTAGTTTGAAACCTTGTGACATGCCGTAAAGATATAAGATCTTAGAGAGGATGCTCTTTGTAATTTACGCAGAATGTTTCAGTTTAATGTTCTCCAATGTAATGTGGAATGGTTATTTTGTAGGTTTTCAGCTTCCTAATGATGACCCTTGCGTTTTTCATCTTCAGTATGCAGATAACATGCTTTTGTTTTGTGGAGCTCAGAGAACTGAAGTATCCAATATTGTTATTTTTCTGAAGTATTGTGAAAAGGCTTTAAGCTTAAAAGTAAATTTTACAAAAACTAGCATGGTGGGCATTAATTGCACAGAGGAGGATGTTTCTCTTTTGGTTTGGGAATTTGATTGCAAGATGGATAAGTTTCCTATTACGTACTTGGGTTTGCCTTTATGTGTTGGTAAGATCCCCATTGCAGTATGGGACAAAAATTTTCAGCGCATTCAAATGAAATTAGATATTTGGAAGTTCAAATACTTGTCTTTTGGGGGAAGAATTATGCTTGTTAAGGTATGTTTATCAAACCTGCCCATCTACCAGATGTCGATTCTTTAGATCTCTACTTTGGTGGCAAAGAAGATTGAGTCTATGATGAGGAACATCCTTTGGGAATCTTCAGTAAATAAGAAAAAGTTCCACCTTCTGCGATGGGATAGGGTTTGCACACCAAGGGAGGAAGGAGGCCTTGGCATCAGAAAGATCAACCTGGTTAATTCTACTCTGCTCTGCTCTGCAAATGGTGGCGGAGTCTGACTTTCAAAAACCATCTCTGATACCAAGTGCCCGTTTCAAAGTATGGTGTTGATAAATTCATCATGTGGTTAGGGATAATGAGAGGAACCTCAGGTATGTCAGTTTGTTGGAAGGCTATTCAGTTGTATAAAGGACTGATCCATAGAGATATTAGATGACGTATAGGCAATGGAAGTAATATCTCCTTTTGGCTTCACAAATGGATAGGGGATTCTCCATTGAAATTACTTTTCCCATTGTTATTTCAAATAGTGATTAATCAAGATGCATCTGTCTCAGCCAATTATGCTCACCGAAGTGACCAAATAGTCTGGAATATAGATCTTCCATATAATAGAATTCCTAATTTGCTCTTCTCTCAACTTTCTGATCTTTTTAAGATGCTAGAAGATGTTTATATTCCTTTGAATGCAAATGATGAAGTGGCGTGGGAAATTGATAAGAATGACATTTTTTCGGTTAAATCCATTTATTATTTGCTCTTCCACGATAGGGTAAGATGGTCTATGCCTATTATTGCTAGGATTTGGAAGTGGCCTCTTCTTTTGAAGGTTCAAGGATTTTTGTGGTTGGCGGCCCAAGATCGAGTGTTCACTATTAATAATCTCACTAAGCGCAGAAAGATTTTACCAAGTATTTGCCTCTTGTGTAAGGCGGATGGGGAGTCAGGTAACCATCTATTCCTACATTGTACCATTGCTAGCCATATTTGGAGATAGTTTTTTGTGAAGTTGGGAATTGCATTGATAATGCCCCTCTCAGTAGTGGAGATAATCGAGGGCCTCTCGGTTCCACTTCCGAAGCTGGATGCTATTACCTGGCAAATTGTTAGAGGAGTCATTTTTTGGGAAATTTGGAAAGAGAGGAATAGGAGAGTTTTCGAATGGGTGACTTTGTCTTGTGAAAAGGTCTTAGATAGAATTCTGCACTATATTTGATATTTTCTTTCGATTACTCCAGGGGTGCAGGATATCACTTAATTAGATGTTAGAAAAAATTTAAGTGATGTCTTCCACTTGAATGTCACCAAATGTAGGCTTAAAGGGAGATGGTTGCCACTGCCACAGGGGGTATATAAATTAAATTACGATGGCAGCTCGATAGGCAACCCGAGTGTATCTAACTTTGGAGGAGTGATAGATATGTGGGTCTTTCTTTTGCAGGTCCTCTTGGTTGTTCGGACTACTAACTTCGCTGAACTATGTGCCCTTCTTTTTGGTGTACGTACTATTGTTGATAGGAAATTGGGACATGAGTTCATTCAAGAGGGGGGTTCTCTTAATGTGATATTGTGGTGCAAGAAGGAACAACTTCTTCCGTGGGAACTAAAACCGTTGTTGCTGTAAATCTTGGATTTATCCGCTTCCCTCTCTGTTTTCTTTGTTAACGTTTAGAGGGAGGCGAATGCCTTGGTAGATTTCCTTGCCAAAGGTGGTACTACTCTTTTTTATGTATCCGTTTCAGAATCTGTAATTTCATTTTAGAGCAATAAAATTATGTGAACTTTCTATAAAATAAAAAAAAAAGATCTTAGAGAGAGAGATGTCACAGAAATATCAGGTAGAAAGATTAGAAAGGCCAAAACAGGCACACTGCAAATAAAGAGAACGAGTTGGAGAGAGAGGACCTGAAATGTTGGGGACTTTTTTCTAACAAAATTTTCTTATTTCTCTTTTGAACGGTAATTTTTTACCTAAGGGCGATAAAATGGTAATGCTTTTTTTCTTAAGAAAATTGTTTCATGCGAGCTGGATTGCATTTCTACATATGCGATCCAAAAGTATAAACGGTCCAAGTGTTTTCAAATATGTGGTCCATTTAAAAACGGTCCAAGTGTTTTCTTAATAGAATTATTATTTTTAGTTTTAGAATTTATATATTTATTTATATTCATGATATCCACCTTAGAGATTACATATCTTTAGAAAGTAAAAGTATAAAAATACCACTTACCATTGCTACAAGGTGGTCACAATCAATTTTATTAATTAGATGTGAAATTGGTTGACTGCATTTATTCCATTGACTAAACTCAAAGTTCCAAAAAAAAAAAATTCAAACTTTATGACACACAAGCTATCAAGTTTCACATCGGATAGTTATAAATAATTGCGACCTCCTTTTATCAAAGGTGAATGATATGGTTGTATACAATCCCCTTTAAAGATTAAGTCCAAAAATCCATTACAAAAATAGATTTACTAAAAGGCCCACATTTCTATATGTAGGGGCTTGGCTTGCATGTTAAGCTCAACCCTTTTCTCATGGAATATTGCCTTTTGGTACGATAAGGTCAAATCAGTCCAAACCATGTGGGCTATAAATGCGCCACAGTTTCTAAAAAACTGACTTTGCATGTGGTCAACGGCACGCTGTGCATTAAAACAATGTTCGGCTATTATGGTCCCAAGCTGTTGCATTAAACAACGCCGATATTTATAAGTATGCAGTCCAAGACCATTTACCAAAGGCACATTACTTTTTGCCATTAGGGCACATTTGGTACCTATAAAAATACTTTCACACGTTAAAAAAAAAAAAAAACTAATCCTATGTTATTGGATGTCGTAATTTTTTCACAGATCTCCACAGCTTTTCACATCGATTGGCAGCTGGCATAGGGAAATTTTTATATAAAAGTACTCATACAAATATTTTCACACCTACCAAACGCGCAATGTGAAATTAGAAAACTAAGGATAATACCATTCACTAGTCTTAAATCCAAAAGAATTTTTTTGATCATGGTGACAAGACAAGCTATCATATTTCACACTAGAGAAATCACTGGTCTTAAATCCCTAAAGTAAATCATCTTATAGCATACAATCCCATAATGCCGCAACCTATGGAGAGAGTGCCTAATAGAAAAAGGACAGAACCCGAATAGTGGGCCCCTCTCTCACCATGACCGTCCATGTTTGGTTTTAATGATATTCGTGACAACTAAATATTCTAAATATTATTTCTTCACAGTACCCTAGGGACCAAACTATACATTTGGTCCATATCCGAAACACCTAGTTAACGGGAATTTTACATCGTGAAATTCAAAAGCTTCCGCATTCACCTCGTGATCAATTTTTTCAATAAAAAATAATTTTGAGCTCAAAATTACCCAGATCTGATATCACAAAAGGATTGTCCCAGATGTAGACCATGGACAGTTCAGATTCAGTCTTGGAGAGAATTTTGATTTGAGGCATTTACACTTTAGAATGGGGTAAATATGATTTGGGAGTTCAGACCCTCTTAATATGGGCAATATGCATCTATACTCCACTAACATTGAATGATAATAGACTTAAGAAAGATGGCCTTTTATCAAATAAAGGAGATATATTATGTTACAAACAGCCACCGTACAAATATCAGAGGTAAAAAAATCTCTACAAAACACAAAGAAAACCTGCACACCAGTGGATAGGAACTCGGAGATGAGCTAGCTCAGTCTTAGGAACTCCACAAAGGCCATATTTAAAAGAAGCCTCACAAACCCACCAATTCCTCAACTGTTACCAGATTACCACACCAAACTATTGACACCCCTGATTATCAGAAAAAAGAAGGAAAAAAGGAAAGAAAAGAAAAAAAGATATTGACATCCCCTTTCTGAACTATTGTGCGAAATTTCTTCTCATACCTTAGTAAGACTATACCGAGGTAAAGTTCCATCCAAAGAAGCAAAAAACTTGGTTTGGTTTCAAACCTGGTTTCAGTATAGGGTTAGAATATTGATTCAAATATGCTATGCAGAAGGACGTTCGTGAGATATCAAGAGACAAACCTGAGCATCCCTTGCCTTATATCTCTGCAGTTCTTCTGAGGCACAAATGAGCCTGCAATAACACAAAAAATACCCAAAATAATTTGCATTAAAACCCCAGTTTCAGTTAAACGAGGAAGGTGTTCATAGATAAAAATTACCTCCACTGCAAATCAGATACTTCAGCCAACAACTCTTTCTCTCTCTCATTTGCTGCCTCGAGCTGCAAAAAAAGATGGGGGCAAAAAAAGAAAACCAAAAAAAATTAAAATTTCTTATATGCCCACTCGGAAAAAGGCATTATACATACCCAAACACCAGTGCAGGTGCCCAACATATATGAAACCATCTTAGTCATAGTCCTATATAAATGCAATAATTTATCAAGAAGAATATATAATAATATCATAACTACAATAATGTAAAACTTCAAATCCTTTACAATTTCTACACAACCATATAATAAGAGACTGTTTGTATTGAATTGTAAAATTAGGTTTCGTTTCAAGTAAGCTGGGTTCAAAGTTGAAAACGAACAAAAAATTCTATTTCTCATGCATGTGTGAACTCCTAATTTTCAGATAATCAGACCAGATTTTCTTCCATAGTATCACATTCTAAAATCAAACAACGCAAAACTTCTGATACTCCATAGGTTCCGCATGAATTTATATAACTGCTACCAGTTTTTTCTTGACGAAACATTTTTACTGATGCCAATCATCTCCGACCCACAGAAATGTTCACAGACATCAAGCACACCAAATCTCAATTATCAAATATTCACCTGGTTAAAGTTTTAGTATGACTAATATAAATTAGAAAAAATTTTGACTTTTATATGGTTTGGATGATATGTAACTCTTTTCTGGTTTGGATGTTATGTAAATTATTCTCTTTATATCGAATTCTGAAAGGAAAAATTTTAGGTAAGGTATCAACTTTATACTGTAGAAGTAAAGTGTACCTCAAAAACCCAAAAGAAAAGCTTGTTTCCAATACTAGAAAACCCTCCAATTGATCATCTCAACCTTAAGATGTATGGATATGAAAATAAAAAAGATTTCAAGTCCTAAAAATAATGCATCTTGTACATTATTTGGACAGTCGATTTTCAAGATTTTCAAGTGTCTATAGATATGCTTGATCTGCACATTTTCTAAACCATAAATTCTATAATTACAATTCAAAATAGATTTTCAGGTCGTTGTAAAGTTTCAAGCATCGAAACTGCATCTTTCGACAGAGGTTGAAAGTGTGCATTACTTTGATTGTTTAAGGTGGATCCCTTATATTAGCTCACCCATTCTAAAATCATGGAAGTATATAGTTGAATTGATTTGAGAATAGAGAGAAAGAGAAACAGACCGGAGCAGTTAAACCCAGCTATGCATGGCTAACAAGAGAGAGACAAAGAAGCAGAGGGAGGTGGAGTAGGGGCATCTCTGAACCCTCACATGAAAAAGAAGTTTTAATTTTTTTTTCTTCTTTTTTAAAGGAACTTCCACTTCTTGTCTTTTAAACCTATGCTATGTCAAATTTTTGTTAAACTTATAGCGTAAATGCTTCCCCTAAATCACATGCCAAAGAGATCTGCTCCATAACTGCACATACAACAAAAATTGACAGGTAAATTATAACCCAATGAGAAAGACAGGAACACAACAGAATGTTTAATAATGCATGATATAATATTTTTACAGCCATGCTCATAAATAAGTTGTACTCATTCGAGAAATAACTAAGGTTCCAACTCATAACCACTTACCAAAGATTTCTCTGAAGCTATGTTAGAGAAAGATGTGGATCCAAGATCGTTCACACAATTAGCTGTACAAAATAGACGACTAGCTGTATAAAATAGAACGGGCCTTAGGTAGATATCTTTGTAAAAAAAAAACACACAAATAAAAAGAAGTACCCTACCTGTATAAGCATCACCAGTACTCACGGTCTTCAACATTTGGAGAAGGTAATCCTAGTGAAAACAAGGTGACAAATGGGATAAGTGGGATAAGTCTGGATAGTCCAGCACTCGGTTGAACAGAAGCTAGATAAGAGAGATGCGTCCCTACCCTCTGAACAACATTTGAATACAAGACTGATTGAATTTGTGGATAAAGCATAGAACTGGGAAGATAGATTGTAGAATCAGATGGTGATGGAAGACAATTTGAAGGAAGTTGAGTAATCACCTGCAATATCCAAAGTGCAACATAAAACACTCCAGCAACAAGAATCACAAGAAATTAATAAACCCAAATAGTTTAGAATCAAGATTCTAAACTACAAACAAAATCCCAATACCAATGGACTCAAATATATAGTGAAGCAAACAAGAATCCAAGGAATCGAAATCCAGAGTGAATCACTTCCAATGCAGAAACTTGACACTCTTTCTCTAGAAACAAAATCTGTTCAGGCATTTGGCAAACTCATAAGAGTATATAGGGAACACAGTGCACGACAAACCCACGCACAGGATAACAGCAATGATTTTGGATTACATTATAATAGTCAATATTTCACAGTCCTTGATTCTTGACAATTATGAAAAGATATTTATATTTCTAGTTCTTTAAAAATCGACAAAAACTACAAACTCTTATGCACCATTTGCTGACTTGCACAGTCATATACGAATTCTAAGAACTTCATTGCATCTAAAATCAAATAATGATTTTCATGTCATGGTGCGGACACATGCAACAAAAAAGAACTGCATTGAAGCTGGAAAATTGTGATATTCAGCTAGTCAAGAATTATTACCGATCTGTAACCAAAAGGGGAACATGTTATTTAGGAAAGTGAATTGAAGGTTTACACACAAAGCATGGTACCCACAGATAGTTATTTGGAGTCAGAAACTATAACGAGCCATCCACCATAGAGAAACTGAAACTTCCTTAATCATATGTAAGTAAATTTCTACACCAGAAAAATCAGTAGATGAAGACCAAGTAAAACCAATACCCTCAATAACATTGTAGTTCGATCAAAAGCAATATTTTGTGGCAATTAACTACTTTAGCTGTTAAGATTTCAACAAATACCTGCAGGCTATGACTTTTTTGTAAGACAGGAGAATGGGGTACCTGAAAGAGCAACATGACATTACATCCTATTCGAAATGAAAAAGAAAACTACTGCACTAAAAAAGCTTACCTTTTCTAAATCAACATTCTCAGATGTGACTTTGAAACGCCCTTTTTGCTGGACAACAGGCCCCTTTGATTTTTCATCAAGGTCATCAGAATTGGTTACTGCAATTACACAGCAGAGTCAAACATAAATCATCAGATTGAGAAAAGCAGATGGTATACAGTCATGAAAGTTTTTTATATACAACAGAAAGAGTCAAGCAGCATAAGTGGAACTCGGACATTAATCAAACATGACATACAATATGCTGATGAGGCATAAGCCTCAATCACCTTCCTATTTCTCATGATAACAATAAGAATAAATGTCTCTGATAAAATGATAATATTTAAATATTTAAACCTACACGGAGGAACAAGATTCATGTAGCCGATCCCAAATAGTTGGGATAAGGCTCCGATGATGATGATGATCCAAAGAAATATTGATAGTGTGATATAAATAGTTTTAATATCTTCATCACATGAATAGAGCAACATTAGTCAATGCTTTAGTACAACGTAAATCAAAGTTCAATTAAGACCAAGCCAAGTTCGCCAAGTGCATAGAATATGAAAGAAACTTGGATACTTCGGGAAAATCCTTGACACGCCGATGCAACTTAAAAAACTATGCATGTGGCTGAGGTACGTTAAGGTAATGCAACATGAAATTATTTTTCTTATAGTGGAAAAGCCCAGGGGCCCCAATGATGAATCGTCTCTCTCTCTCTC